CTGGAGCTAGGCCGTACATCATGTTGATTTCATGACCTATATAGGCGTAACTGGAGCATGCGGAGATTGTCGTCCCGTTGAGCGTAAATGGGGCATTCAAAACCCATCCGTTCTTCATAAACATCGCTTTCGTTAGATTTAGTTGAAAACCTATCTTTCCACAGGCGTTATCGAAATCGGTCAACATTCGTTCCACTTGGCTGACGTTTGGTGTTATGAGAGAGATATTGTCAGCAAAGCGAAGATGGTCTGATTGTCTACCGTCAATTTTCACTCCCATATCGTCCCATTCTAATGTTTCCATGACGTTTTGTAGGGTGGCAGTGAATAGTTTTGGCAAAATTGTATTGCCTTTCGAACCCCTCCTCTTACGTCTGGTATTAATATTCCATTCTAACTCCCATATCGAGCCATTCTAGTGTTGCCATGACGTTGTAAGGTGGCAGTGAATAATTTTGGCAAAACTGTACGCTTTGTTGACCCCTCTTCTTACGTCGGTGGTGATATTGTTGTAGAATAACGATATTTTGGTCGTGAAATCTGTAGCTCACAAAGGATCGTTATGTACCGAGTAGGAACGCCTTGGTTTCCAGCGTTCTCCATAACCGCTTCTGTTTCCACTGAATCAAAGGCCTTCTTCAATCGATGAAAGTGAGACAGAGTGGATTTTGTAATCTCATGATACTTTAGTGAGTCTTGTAATCACGTGAATGTGGTCTAGGCTACCGAATCCTTTTCGGAACCCTACTTGTTCGCATGGCTGTCCTTCGTCAGTGTTCTGTAAATCCTGTTTGCGATGACTCGAGTGAAGAGTTTATAGACAATGGACAGCAAGCAGATTGGGTGATGACCGCCTATGTCATGAAGGTCCCCCTTTTCGAACAACAACACGGACTTGCTGGTTTTCCATCAAAAGGGACCTTGCATTCTCACAGGTAGCGAGTGAAGAGTCGAGCCAGGGTGTTGATGAGAAGTTCTTCAGGTTTTCTGGTCTAATCCTATCTGGACCGGGTGTTGTTCTCTTCTTCACCGACGATATAGCATGTCGGATTTTGGAAGGGAGGGCCGGTGGAGCGACATATTCATCCTCTTTCAATTCATATGACGGTAAAGAGGACATGTCTAGCGAAGAGATCCGAGTAGTATTGGTGTATGATTTTCTCCATAGTCCTTCTCAAAGCTTTGAGTCTTCCGTCAGGGTATCGGAGGGCACATCTTGGTCTTATAGTTAGCGAAGCCTCGCTGGGCATTGCGAATGCTCTTTGCAGCTTCTGCAGCTTATGCCATAACTGCTGCTCGTCCTCTTTGAGGTCTTCTTTAATCGCTTCTCTGCAGCGTTTCGCAAGTTCTGACGTAAGGTTTCCGTTGCCTGTAGCTCGTGCGATTTCACGTTAACGTATCAGCTCGAGTGTCTGCGGAGACAAGCCTCTCTTCGTGACCTTAAGACTCTCGGCTTTCATAGCGCTAACGTGAAGATATTCAACGAGCCGTTCGTATTCTTCGTCGATGTTGCCGACAACGGTATCTTCTCAAGAGCCGACTAATGATTTGAATACATTCCAGTTTATGGTAGTTCTGGAACCTCGTTATTTGGAATTAGCGGCTTTCTTTCCTCTCCGCAAAAAAACGGAACATTGCGCGAAGTAGGCGATGGTCTGATCCCGTGTAGAACCTAGGAACAACAGCGACATCGGTCAGGCAAAACTTTCCTTTTACTACGATATGGTCTATTTTGTTATGGTACTCTCCATTGGGAAACTCCCACGTCCATCGCTGAGAGTGAGGCTTTTGGAATTGTGAGTTATCATGGATGATTTGGGTCGCCATGATGAACTCAGATATCCTCTCACTCTGTTCATTCCATTCTAGTCCGTGGGTCCCAATGTGACGTTCTTCAGACGTTCTTCATGTTCCAGTTTTTGCATGAAAATCTCCGACAATGGCCTTGAAGAATGTATGATCTTCTCTGAAAAATTTTTCGAGGTCCATATAAAACCCTTCGACTTCGTCTTCGTCATAGCTTGATGTTGTTGCGCAAGCAACGAAGATGGTCAAAGCCGGCATAGAACCAAATCGTTTCAACCGTAATCGTCCGATACAGGATGTTAGTTGTTCAAAAGAATCGATGTTCACGGTCAAATTCGATTTGACGAGGACGCCAACGCCGCCAACACCTCTGCTATCCCAAAGAACAGTTCTTCTCCGGTGTCATAAACAGCATGAAAAGTATGGCGCCTTCTCGTCTCAGCCAGGCCTTTGACGTCCTATCTTGTCCTTCTTGCTTGTATCAATAGATCTTCTACAGCGGATTCGTGAGCAAGGGTTCTTGCAATGTAGGTACAGATCGTCATTTTAGTCCGTTTCGATATTGCGATTGACAGCTTAGTTTGGCCCTGAGATTTCAGCAGCCTCTGCATGCTTGTCCTACCTGGCGCTGCCGTACCAGGGGCTCATTCGGGGTCAGGGGAATGAGACCCATATTTGTTACTGTTTTTAGGATTTTGATACCAACGTACAGCTTGCCAGGCTCTAAACGTGGGGGCTGGGTACTCACGAGTAGCTTGCCAGTCTCTCTCGGAGGAGCGAATGTCAGAATTGCTATTTATCCTGATTAATTTTATACTGCGCGCATTTCATTGTGCGGATACCAGTAATTCTGTCATTTATATTCGTTTACTCACATTCATCGTCTCAAAGGTCTTCGAACATTTGCGCTTTGTTTTGACTTTTCCCATTCGGAAAACCCATCTATTAGGTTGAGCAAGATATTCTGAGAAATTCTTGAAAATTTTTTGGCATCTTTGTATCATTCTTTAATGATAATTTACTTACTTACTTTTGCTTTATTGATCCGTCTTCACAGTGTGCTTTTACACTGTGCGGATCTCAATACTCCTAGCATTATAATTGTTTCTGCCTCTTCTTCTTTAACGTCGTAGAATACTTTTAAGCGAGTCTCTTTGCAATCTCGAGGATAATCTGGCTGTGGGACTCCATAGGGCATTCCTTTTACTGCCAGAGAGAGAGTTAGGGGGTGTAGATCGGCTCCACGCGCTCCGCGACGAAAAAAAAACAATCACTCGGCCACGAACCCCCTATCAATAGTTCAGTTTGTATTCATATAGTCATTAATTTTAGCTCCAAGATGTCGAGCAAAGGGTGTGATTTGCGTGTGTTGATCCGCCATTATTGGAGAAAAAGCTTAACGATTCTAAAGGCCGTCGACGAGATTTATGAGGTGAAAGCGCTGGTATGGCGACAGAATCGACTGTGGGCAGATGGCTTAAGCTATTCAAAGAAGGCAATTTTGATCTCGATGACAGCCTCGCTATGACTGGCCAATGGTTTTTGATCGAAGTCATTTTATATGACATTTCGATGCTGAGCACCCGTGATTAGCTGAAGAGCTTGGTGTTTTGCATTTCAATTCAGTGGAGCCGGAATGGTGCTTCGAGCAGATCCGGAATCTTGCAGAGCGACGGCAGAAATTCGTGGACAATGGTGGTCTATCGTCTGATGAACAAATATTGTTGTTTACATAATCTTAATCGGACAGCCACTGTGCATATATATAAGCTTAATTGGATTTAGAACGCGATATGCGCCCACCTCACCAAACCTGTTTTGATGGTTAGCGGCTGACAGCTATGATAGTGGGTTGTTGAAGAATCAGTGGGGATAAGCTGTGGCATCGATGGTCTACAGGTAACACGCGCCCTCGGTATGAGTGAAACGCGGGTTCAACTCCCATCCTAGGCCGAGTTTTTGCTCATCACTTATTTCTCCTAGTTAATGATGCTTTTATTGCTGATTTGCGCATAAAAATCAAACTTCCAAGAATTTCCAATAACTTTTTGCTCAACCTTAGAAGAGAAAACCGTACCAAGAATGACCGCCGTCGTAGTAGATATTAGTCGATCAGGTTTTGAAGTGCCAGTGGCTGGTATGCATCATTGGAGACGTCGCAGCGCGGCATCGCGTGCGGCAGTGTGGACGAGATACGGCATTTTGGCAGCGTGCCAAGTCATGCCCATGCGTAGAAGCCACGCCGGTGACAAGTCACGCTGCTTCCGTGCCGCGGTCAGTTTCCTCTTCTCTGCGGCCGCGGTCGCCCCTCTTCCCCTTTCCCCGCTCTAATGGCACGGTGGCCCCTTGATCTATGCATGGCAAATCAATCGATAGTATTTTATAAAGTAAGTTTTTCTCAGTTCTTAAGTTTTAATGTGTCACTAGGTTTTCTTTGTTTTTTCGTACACTTTACCAGGAGTTTTGTTTTTTCAGAGTTCTTTTTTAGTTATTCACATGGCCGGTCTAGACGGCGGTCTCCCCTGATATGCCGGAGTCAACACGGGCCGCAGTGTGAGTTTGGTGTTTAGATTATGAACAATGCTAGGTGCATTATTGATTTGTGAGATCACTAAAAATCGCTAATTCGAATGTTATTCCGTTGTAAACCGAGCTAAGAGACGATTGTTGTGTTTGCTGTCTTGGTCTGATTTTCGATTATATCCTCGTTGAGAATTTTAAGTGGGTCGTTTTCGTTACCCGCAGCCTGTTTCGACACTCGGGGAAAAATGCATCTGGTCATTGTCCATTATTAGGCGACCAATGAAAAACTGATCTCATTCGCTGGACAAGAATTTTTCATAGAAGTGTTAGTATCATTCAGAAACTTGAATCTCTGGCTGAAGCATACGTGGCCGGCTTTTCAAAACATCCTTTTATAACGCTATAAAATCCAGAATAAAATTATGTTTCACATGACCACGCGTTTTTTATTCTTATCTCGCTTATGTTTCACTGGACAAAACTCGTTCCGTAAAGTGCTAGTACTCATTCGATAGCACAAGTTTCGAAAAACTCAAAAATATGTTGATGCTTCAAAAAGCTGTTTTGATATCGCCGTAGGAGAAAGTAAAGTTTTATGCTCTCTACCTTGTCGAACAGAGCTACTTCTTTAGATTAGTTATATAACTAAGAGATTGAGTGGTGAACAAAAACACCGCCTCAGGCGGGAATCGAACCCACGTTTCATCCTATCCGGGGACACGTGCTCTACCATTACACCACTGTGGTAGAGCACGTGTCCCCGGATAGAATGAAACGTGGGTTCGATTCCCGCCTGAGGCCGTGTTTTTGTTCACCACTCAATCTCTTAGTTATATAAGTAACATAATAACACTGCGAAAAAAGCAGTGAAAATACTATAATTACTTTAGATTAGTAGTAGTCATTCGATAGCGTAATTTTTAATGATTCCA